TACAAACATTTTTTTATTTACTTTTTTTTTGCCTTATTACTTTTGTGGAAAAATATTGTTCTGAAGTTTTCGGATTTATTTCGGTTGAAGTGCGTGCTATGTTGTGTGTGTGTGTGTGGCGGGGCTGGCTGCTGTGCTGCCGGTCCATGCAGCTGCACCACCGCGGCGTGTCGCGGCGTGGCGTGTCGCGATAGGACGGACGGACAGGTCTGCTGGTATCCCTGACCTTCCCCCGCCGCGCGCCCGCGGCCCCGCGCGGCTCGTCGCCGTTGTCTCTTCCCCGCACAGCTGCCGTCCGACGACACATGAGCCCCGCGAGTGGTGGAGTGAGAGAGTGAGAGCGAGAGCGAGCGAGCGAGGGAGTGAGCGAGAGAGCGAGCGAGAGAGTGAGAACGAGCGAGAGTGAGAGCGAGCGAAAGAGTGAGAGGGAAAAAGAGCCAAGAGAGCGAGAGAGAGGAAAAAACTGTTGACCTGAGCAAAATAAAATGATCTGCTCCCCTTCCGAGATGGTCGCAGCCAGTGCGGTGTATGCCGCCGCGGTGGTGCAGTAGTTGTCGTGTTGTTGCCGCTTGCTTGCTGCTGGACGTTCCGTTCCGCCCGACAGCTGCGGCGGCTGGCGGGGTCTCGGGTCGCCCGCCCCCCGGGACAATTAGCATGCGTGACGGCGAACACGGCGCAGCGGCGGCGCACACTGGGGGCGCTGATCCCCTGCGCTGCTGATCCTGATCCCCACACGGCGCGGCGGCCCCGCACCGCACCGCGATGAGGACCAGGCGCGATCCCTCCGCGACCAGCCAGCGGGACGGGACGCGCCTACAAGGAGTGATTGCCTAATGACCGACGAGCGATACATGAAAGTATGAAAGTCGACCTGAGAGAGCACGGGGCAGTATGATGGCGGGTGGAGGAGAAGTGACGTGGAGTGACAGTGACAGGTTGATGTTTACTGACACAGGGTAGAGATGGAAGTGATGGGAGGAGGTTGGTGTGTGCGGGAGTGGATGGTTTGTGATGAACAGGGGGGGGGGGGGGGGTAAATTGTGACGGGTGGTGATGGGGCAGGGCAGTGTATGGAGAGTGACGGTGGCAGTGACGGTCAGTGGCGGAGCAGTGCGTGGAGAGTGACAGTGGCGGAGTGATGGGTTGTGCGCCACGCGGCTTATCTCTCTGCCGCCGCCTCCGCCACCCTGTTTGTGGTGCAGCCCGCTCGTTATCACTAACGCGCCGCCGAAAGCCAACTCTGCTGCGCGGCGCCACCACCCGGCTGCAGCGACTGACCGTCTCTGCAGCTGGCTAGCTTGCGGCTGCGAGTAGGGATTTTAGTTTTCCAGAAACGCTTTTTGTTGTTGTAAATTTCTCAAGAATTTTTTTCTAATGCCTAAATGTTTTCCTTAAAAGCTTTATTTTTTTCAAATTTTGCATTAAATGTTTCTTTTTTTTTCAACTTTTTCCTGGATAGGTTTACAATTTTTCCAAGAATATTTCTGTCTTTAAAATCAAAATCCCTAGCTGCGGGAAGCTTTTTCCCGCCAGCTGCGCAGCTGGCCATGCCTGCTTGCAGCGCGGCGCCGCGCCGGCGCAGCCTTGGACCTGGACGTGGTTGGTTGGGCGGACAGCTGCAGCTGCGCACGCCTGGGCTCCCCGTGGAGGAGGAAAAGAAGAAGGAGGGGCAGGGGGGGAGG